TCTCTCTCACATTGATGTTTCTCTTTCTCTCTCTCTCTTCCTTCCATTCTCTTTGAAGATAAATGGAGAAATCCTTAGATGAGAATTTTTTTTAAAAAATTACAAGACGTTAATTAAAGACACTGAAGAAGACAAAAACAAATATAAAGAAATTTTGTGCTCATAGATTGGAAGAATCAATATCGTTAAAATGTCTAGAGTATCAAAAGCTATCTTTAGATTCAATCCAATCCCAGTCAAAATTCCAATAACATTTTTCACAGAATTAGAAAAATAATTCAAACATTTATGAAACCACAAAAGACCCTAAGTAGCCAAAGCAACCCTTAGAAAGGAGAACAAGGCTGGAGGTGTCACACTCCCTGATTTTAAACCTTATTACAAAGCTATAGTAATAAAAACATATGGTACTAGCATAAAAATTGACACATAGACCAATGGAACATATTCTAGAGCTCAGAAATAAACCCATATACATTCAACTAATATTTCACCAAAAAGCCAAGAATACTCAATGAAAAAAAGAGTAGTCTCTTCAATAAATGGGGTTGAGAAAACTAGATATCCACATGAGAAGTAATAAACTTGGACCTTATCTTACACCACACTCAAAATGGATTAAAATCTTAAATGTAAGACCTAAGACTGTAAAACTCCTAGAAGAAAACATGGGGCAAAGCTCCTTGATATTGCTCTTGGCAATAAATTTATTTATTTTTATTTATTTATTTATTTATTTTTATTTATTTATTTTTGTATATGACACCAAAAACACAGGAAATAAAAGCAAAAATAGCCTTGGCCAGTTTGGCTCAGTGGTTAGAGCAGCGGCCTGTGGTCCAGAGAGACCCGGGTTCGATTCCCACTCAGGGCACGTACCTCGGATGCAGTTTGTCCCCAGCCCTGATTGGGTCATGCAGGTGGCAACCACTGGATGTGTCCCTTTCACGTTGATACTTCTCTCTCTCTCTCCCCCTCCCACTCTATCTGAACAAAAAATGGAAAAATGTCCTCGGGTGAGGATAGAAAAAAAAAATTGCAAAAAAAAAAGCAAAAATAAACAAATGGGACAACATTAAACTAAAAGTCTCTGCACAGCAAAGGAACTCATTAACAAAATGAAAAGGCAGTCTACTGAATGGGAGTAAATATTTTTAAATCATATTTGATAACGGGTTAGTATTCAAAATATATAAATAACTGATACAACTCAATATTTAAAAAAAAAAAAAAACAATTTGAATTCAAAATGGGCAGAGAACTTGAATAGACATTTCTCAAAAAAATACATACAAATAGACCTGGCTGGTTTGGCTCAGCAGTTAGAGCAACAGCCCACAGACCGAAGAGTCACGGGTTTGATTCCAGTCAAGGGCATGTACCTCAGTTGCTGTTTGATCTCCAGCCCTCATTGGGGTTTTGTGGGGGCAATCAATCGGGTGTCTCTCTCACACTGATGTTTCTCTCTCCCTCCCTCCCTCCCACTCTATCTGAAAATCAATGAAAAAATATCCTCAGGTGAGGATTATTTTTAAAAAAATACATACAAATAGCTAACCGGTACACAAAAAGGTGTTCAATATCAGGAAAATACAAATCAAAACTATGATGAGAAGTCACTTTACATCTGTTAGAATGGCTGTTTGCTATTAAAAAATGATAAGAGATAACAAGTATTGGCAAGGGTGTGGAGAAAAGGGAACTCTCGTGCACTGTTGGTAGGAATGTAAATTGGTGCAGAAAACAGTATAGAGGTTCTTCAAAAACTAAAAATAGGCCCTGGCCGGTTTGGCTCAGCGGTTGGAGCTTCGGCCTGTGGTACAGAGAGACCCAGGTTCGGTTCCCGCTAAGGGCACGTGCCTCGGTTGCAGTTTGTCCCCGGCCCTGGTTGGACGTGCGGGTGGCAGCCACTCGATGTGTCCCTTCACATCGATGTTTCTCTCTCTCTCTCTCTTCCTCTCTCTCCCTCCCACTCTATCTGAACAAAAAATGGAAAAATGTCCTCGGGTGAGGATAAAAAAATAAAATAAAATAAAAATAGAACTGCCCTATGATCTAGCAATCCCACTTCTAAGTATATATCCAAAGGAAATTAAATCAGGATATTAAACAAATAGCTACACTCCCATATTCATTGCATTGCAGTATTATTCACACTAGCCAAGACATGAAAATGATCTAATTGTCCACTGACAGGTAAATGGAATATTTTTCAGCCATAAATAAGAAGAAAATCCTGCCTTTTGCAACCTTGTGGACAGACCTTGAGGCATTATGCTGAGTAAAATAAGTCAGAGAAATACAAATACAGACACTGTATGTTCTCACTTATGTGTGGATCTAAAAAAGTGGAACTAAGAGCAATAGAGTATAGTAGTTGTCAGGGCTAAATGGTGGGGGGAAGGGGGAGATGGTAGGGAAAGCATACAAACTTCCAGCTATAAGAGGAATAAGTCCTTGCAATCTAATGTGTAGCCTGGTGATTATAAGTAATAGTACTGTATTATGTCCTTGAAAGTTAAAAGATTAAATTTGAAATGTTATCACCACACTGTCTCCCACAAAGGTACTTATGGGAGCAAATGGAAATGTTGACTAATTTTATTATGGTTATCATTTCACAATATATACACCTATAGGTGTATCAAGTCATCATGTTGTATACCTTAAACACACTTAGTTATATGTCAATAATATCGCATTAAAGTTGGAAACAATAAATAAGGAAAATGGAGTTTAGAAAGGTTATGTAAATCACACAGCTCATAAAAGTTGAAATCAAAATTCTACATGAGCATACATTAGCCACTGTGCTATGCTGCATCAATACAACACAAGAAAATGGCAAACAAGGGCACAAGGCAGCCAGTGATCATTCAGTAAATTGGTGGGGCAAGTAATGTATAGTTCAGGAAAATTTGATGTTTTATTAGTCCCTGTTACATTCCAGAGTGTATGTGATTCGGAGCCAAGAAGCTAAAGATTCATACTTTAGACTATGGTTCTTACACCAATGGACTGATGGTTGATTGCCACCTACTTTAACACAGACCCTCAATGCCTTCCTTCATAAAAATAAATTCCATGAGTGCCAATTTCCAAGGACCTAAAATTTAGGTCATTGATCATTAGCACATTGGAGATTTTATCAAAAAATATATATTCTCTTAAAGGCTTCTGTATTTCAAATGGAAAAAATATATATCTCATTCAAAGTTTCTCAGCTTAGATTCACCTTGACCTGTCTATATAAGTTCATCCTAGAACAGTAATCAAGAGAGGAGTTTATGCCACATTCACCCACTGAGATCTACAATCAAAACAGCAAACCTTTGTTATTTTCTTCTGTTAATTTTTAATGCAAATCTATCATTTGGGCAAAACCAAGTATTTGGCCTGACTAAGGTCTTACTAGAGTCTTTACATTGTTCTTAGGAGCCAAGCCAGGGGTGAAAACATGCAGTGAGCTTTAGTCCTGAAGTACCTCAAGATATTGAAATTGCAGTTATTTAAATACTTTCATTTCTTCAATATGAAATAGGTATATAAGGAAATGTAAATTTTAATTCACTTTGAAGATCCTAATTAGCTTTACAGACAAGAACTAAAGATCTGTGTGGGTTTCACCAGCATGCCTTAATCTCCCAGGGTTACTCAGGCAGATCATTAAATAAATCCACCAGCTGCTGGTTTTGTTGGTTCCACAGAAAGTGACCAATGGCACTGCCCTGGCTAAACCAGTAATCAACTGTGGAATTGATGTAATTCCTAGGAGCCGCTATCTGATTGCAACGTATCTAGCAACCTCCACTACCTGAGAGGGCTCTAGTGTCTAAGCCCACCCCCTTCTTTATGGACCAATTGAAGTCCCATCTCATGCAGTTCATAACTGCCCACTTCAGGAGACTCACTCTGCCCTGGATCTCTGGGAGATATGTTTTGTGAATCTCTTACCTTGGTTCTTTTTGTGGGGTCCCTATATTCTTCTACTGGCTACATTTTCATGTACATATGTTTTATTTCCTAACCAGACACAGGGGGCAGCATGAGGCAGTGAAATTATGTATAAAAAACATGGGCTTTGAAGACATCCAGAACTGAGTTCGAATCCCAAACTCACAACTATGTACATTTTTAACCTAGATGAACACCACTTTTCTCTTCTTTAAATAGGCCAAGAAGGTTTGTTGTAAGGGAAAAAATAAAAAATGAGTGTAAAGCACCTTGCGTGGTATCACCCCACAGAATACAGGTGTCCAAACATGTGCACACACCATTGTTCTGCATTAAAAGCAAACATACCCGCCCTGGCCGGTTTGGCTCAGCAGTTGGAGAGTCAGCCTGCGGACCAGAGAGTCCCGGGTTCAGTTCCTGCTAGAGGCACGTACCAAAAAACAAACAAACAAACAAACATACCCTTGCTGAGCACAAGATGTTTTTGCTGTAAGTTTGTTTGCATCCTTCAGCTCACCTAGGACAGTGATTTGCACATTATAGGTACTCACAGCTTTATAGCATCTTTCTTTAAGCAGAAGTTGTTAACAGTCTGGTTTGTTAAACTCTAAGCAGTATACTTAAAGGACTTCATTACAATATGATTCATCTCAAGAGGAGATATAATTGTGAGGCTCCCTGTGTTTCAGGGGTTCTGGGGGGATTTTCTGGGCTGAACTGGCAAAGCATTCTCTAGGTCTGTAATAGTCAGGCAGGTTCATAGTTAACACTGTTATTTCATAATTTCACAGATCTCACATCCCCTTTCAAAGGCATGTTTTATATATCTATTTCATTTATTTCCTAAGCTACTTCTCCAGAACAAATGAATTAAAAAGGTGTTTTTAAAAATCAATCAAAAAATAGCAGACGGCTCTAGATGAGAATTTTTCAGAGGGAAATGACAGGCAGAAACAGTACCTTGGATCTGGGCAGTTTTAAAATCATGGTCAGAGTAAGAGTTAAAGTGACTTGCATTTCAAGTGACAGAAAACCAATGGAACCAAATAAAAGGGGGGAGGCTTTTATAATAAGAATTCTTGCTCAGGGGCCATACTAATCTTCTCTGTATCATTCCAATTTCAGTATGTATGCTGCTGAAGTGAGCACATAAGAAGAATTCTCAGTATTCTCATGAGACCCAACGTCTGGGGAGCAGCTCCAATCAGTTATTTAAATGCCAGCATTTCTATGTCCATTTCTCATAGCCCCTCACGGCTGCCCCTCTCCCCATATGTTTCATTTCTTCTCTTTCCTGCTGTTCGCTCACTCACCCTCACTTTCACATTGTCTCAGCTCCTTCTCTGTCTGTCTGGTCCATCGGGCAGTAGACTTGGCCGGCAAGAGCTCGCAGCAGCACATCTTACAGCTTTGGCATCAGCCAGTCATCGAAGGTACTTCTCAGCTTTAGTCCATAATCTTAGAGCGAGATGCTAATTGGCCCAGTTGTGGTCAGGTGCCCAAATCAGGAACCACAGACTGTGGTCAGGGGAGAAAGTCACATTGTCCCAAACGGCTGCTCTGTGATAACCACAGAGTGAGGATAACTCAGAAAAAGGGAAGAGGCAAGAGAAAAAGTATTCCAGGCGGTAGATTTGGCCTTAGGCAGTTCTCATATCTCCAATAGGAAGCCCGTTTGGTAGTTCTTATCTGTTACAATTTACAATAAAACAAAATTTCAAAACGTCTTCCCCAGTAGCCAAGGGCGTGTCAGCCACCCTCCCTGAATAGCGCGCTGATAGCTCGTGCAGATATAATCCATTCTAAGGCACAGTGAAGAGTCCTGACTCTGTGAGAGAACAAAGATTGAATAATCGATTAAAGCCTAGTGATGGTTATATAACTTTATGGCCTTTCAACAAAATACTCTGAAGCCACTTAGATCGAGCCTTTAAAGAAAGAGGAATGCTATGCTCACGATAAAAACGTCAGTGGAAGAGCAAGGCATGGAGCTGATATACGCAACATGTTGCGCATATACCAGCACAGCAAGTTACATCTGGATGTCAGAATCATGACGAGTTTTATTTTCTCCTTCATCTCCTTCGCACTTTTTCTAGATTTTTTAATTAAAAAAATGTATTATTTTATAATCATAAAATTAAAGGGTTAAAAGGTTCAGTACGGACTCAGTAAGTGGGTTAACTGTGGGTCATTAAAAGGTGGGTTACTCCAGATGCCCCCAGGGAGCTGTGGTTCAGGGGTCCTGAGTTTGTTTTTAGTGTTCTCCTGGTGATCAGTGCTGTGGTGAACTCAGAGAAGATTTGCCAGAAAAGGTACTAACTAGATGGGGGTGAAGAGAACGCCGAAGGAGGGGGTTCTCTGAAAGCAGTCGAGCACCCTGGTCCAAGTTCACACAGACAGTCTCACTTCACGGGCACACTCTGAGCCCGCCTGCCAGACAGGCCTTCTTATCCCAAGATCTCTTTTGTGGATCAATCCCAGTGGCTCTCCTAGGCTCACTATTCCCTATTGAAACAAACAAACAAATACTTGAATATTCACCTGCTTTCCTATTTGGTAGGCACCATATCAGCCCCACCCTGTCCAAGCCTTTTACAGAACCAGAGCAAACCACCATCAGACCAACAGCAATAAGGGTGAAGGGCTGGGCCAGATTCCAACAGGTCTAATGGGTATTTATAACTGGCCTATGGTTCCCTGACTTTAAGTAACCTGAGGATCAAATACTTCTCTTTGTGGGCTGATCTGTCACTTAGATTAGCAGTATAAGCTTAACTTTTAACAAGAAAAAAAAAAATCAAAGCTATGAGCTTACAAATTCTGTAAGTCAATAAAGTTCAAGGGAACACGAGAAATGTATACTCCAAGTCTTTTTTGATCATCATAGAGGGGTGAACATGTAAATGATGAAGACTGTCGTCATGTTTATTAGGACAGACATTCTGGAGACCTTTGTCTCTCCCAATCTTTCAAACGGAGAACATGTGAGTACCACGTCAACTACACTGTTCCCTGAGCAGCTGAAACAGCTTTCGAAAAATATTGTTGTCACTGTGTCAGATCAAGTGAAGAGAAGCAGAAATATGACTTGGGAGTCTCAAAAGGTATTAGGCAGCAAGTTAGGTGGAAATTAAATTCCATTTGCTGGGATTCCATGTAACACACTGAGAGAGCAGAAATGGTCAATTCCCTTTATTAGTTGCTGGATTTATGGTTCAAAATGAAGATTAGGTTAAGGAAAAACCAAACTTGATATTCTAAATAGCTCACTAAATTCAAGAGCCTCGGTCCGGTGCTTTGGCATTTCATGTGGCCTCCATGGCTCTAGAGTCTCTCTAGAACTAATCTGTTGAGTTCATTGCCACTAAACCAATTTGGGGGAGGGGGAGTTTTTTTTTTTCCTTTTTATTGAATTTATGGAGGTGACACTGGTTAATAAAATTATACAGACTTCCGGTGCACAATTCCACAACATGTCATCTGTACACTGTATTGTGTGCTCACCACCCCAAGTCAAGTCTCCTTCCATCACCACTTATCCCCCCATACTCTCCACCACTGAACCAGTTTTTATAAGGCTACTTTCATTATGCTAGCCCTTTGCTCTGAACACAATAATTGCTTTTGAACAAGTCTGAATTCCTCTGGCCAGCTCTCAGGGACCCCCAAAATCCAGCCGAACCCTGCCTGGTGCACCAGGTGCTCCCACACACCTCCTTCCCCTCACCTGCGATGGTATCTCGTTGTCCTGCAGACATATCTGCCTCCCCCAGCATCTGGACTTTCTTTGTGCTAGTTCCCTCCACTCTGAGCGTTAAAATGTGTCCTCAGTGTGTGATCAAGCCTCATCTCATCTTTAATCTTCCTTGACTTTTCCAGTCCACACGAGCCTTTTTCTCGCTGAATTCCTGCCACACAGTTGGGCCTGACCATGAACACACACTGAGAATCCACCACAGGATGGGCTCTGTACATGTTATTTTGAAAATACCCTTTGTCAGCTTCAGAAGAACCCAGTAAGACCATCACTATTACCTATTTCATTATCAGTGAGGGAACCTTAATGCAATTCAGCTCCTTTGGCAGCATGAGCTAGATGGAACTGGTACCTTATCATTCCCCACCCAGTGCTGCCTAGTGATTGGTGCCCAATGAGTATTTTGTTTCAAAAAATGTTACCACCTTTATAAGTCAAAGACCTGAATCTGTCTCCAAACACTGTGGCTTAATGCGCACACGCAGATATAGACTGGCAGTGATATATCACGTGGGCGAGAATTCACTACATACTAGTTGATTGCTTGCTGTCGCTCAGAGCAAAGCACTCCAAGACCGCACCTTCCCTGAACAGCTACGGCGCAGGCGCAGAGCGGCGCCAGGAGGAGCTTTATCGCACGCTGCCCACCACCGTGTCCCCAGCACACGATACAAGGAAGAGCACCGTGCTGGCTGCCAGTGCCACTTCAGGGCGAGCTCCCAGCCACCTTCACCCCCTTCCAACCTCCCTGCCACTCTCAAGCCCCTCCCACACAGATATATTGTTGCTGCTGTAAAACGAGCATAGCCAAATTAGCTGCAGAAGCCTCTTCTATGTACGTATATACTCACTTGCCAACACTCAGTGGATAACAGCAATGAATATGCTCTGCTCAGCTTTAAAATCTCCATCAAGTCACGAGTGTGACTGAATTGGCCTCTGACATGCTAAAACTGAAGAGGGTTCCGATTAGGTGAAACCTGCTTGTTTTCATTGGCACTGACCAATAGTGACAAAATATGTATATATGCCAGCTCTTCACTTTTTGAGGGTCTAAATACCCAGGTGCCTTGATAAAAGTCATGGGTACTCACTCATGTGGTTTCTGAAGCCCGACCTCTTAAATGTCTCCAAGTAAAATTAAATTTAGAAAAAAATGAATGTCCTATATAACTCTCCTAATCAAAGGATAAATCAAAACCATATATGCCTTGTATTTTTGACGCAACACAGAGAAGAATTGACTAAACCTGGAGCCCTGTTTGAATTTAACGTGTCCATGATACCTGTGGGATCCAAGAATGTTTCATCTGGCTCCTTGGTTCATGGTACTTACCCTGATAAATAAAGATTTTCTTATTAAAAATAATGATCCTTGCCTGAGAAAGTATAATAGATCAGTATTCCCGAAGTTGTTCATTAAGCAGCCTCCTCATTTAGCCGTATGGCCACATTGAATGAGGCACAATGAAAGATCAAACAATGTGTCCGGCTTCCAGGCTGCTTCTCAGCATTTGGGATTTAAGGGGCTGCACCCGTAATTCATTTAATTGGAAAGACTCTAAGAGAACTAAAAATGATGAGGGGTGTTCGAATGAGGAGGGTGACAAGACCTCCTGCCTGCTGACTCCGCAGGCCAGTCATCGCTCCTCTGAGCTTTCGTTTAAATGGTTTCAGATTGACGTCAGTCATTTTAAATACTGAAAGGCTCCCCTCCTTCCGTTAACACAGTTTACTTGGCCTGAAGTTCTATTAGACAAGACAAAAATTTCATTGAGTTAAATAGTTAGGGCCTTTATGGAGGCCTAAGCTATGCAGAGCACTGTACTAGATATTTTACCTATATTAGCCTTAATCTTCACAACTCCAAAATGTATTGTGTGTGCGTGTGTGTGGTTTTGTTTTTGTTGTTGTTGTTTGTTTGTTTGTTTGTTGTTTTGTTTTTGACAGACCAAGAACTAGGCTTGAAAAGTTGGAAAGTGGACCCAAGTCACACAGATCCAGGGATGTCGTTCTATCCACACCAGGCTGCTTCCTTAAAGACAGAAGCCAAGACACAGCGGACGCTGGTAGAAGTCGGCCGGGACCTCCTGCGGCCGCGCAGGTGAGCCTGTGCTCGCGGCCTGCAGCCCCCTGAGCCCCCTTCCAGCCGTCACACTCCACCGCGTCTCCGCTCTCCTGTTCCCCGGGCGGGCAGCTGCGGCGCCTTCAGCTGCCACAGTTTCTAAGAAGGAAATGAAATTAGAGAGGAAACATGGGAATTCCCGTGCCACGGCCCTGCAATGCTCCATCTGTCAAGAGGGGAGAGTGGGTTGCGCCGACTTCAGAAACTGTCATTCATTTGACAGCTTTGCCTTATTTCTTCGGGGAGAACCCATGGCAGGAAGAG